GCCCAAGATGGTCGCTTCAGAAGCATTTGTTTTCCTGAAGGCTTTGAACAGGGCTAAGGTCAACTATGCATTTGCTGTATCCTTTAAAATATAATGAGAACGGCTGGGTTTTAAACACTTCTTTTCTCTTAATTTATTTTAATAAGCCAATGCTCTAACTGTGTGGAAAGTATGGGAGCAGTTGAAAATGTGGCCACATCTATTATATAGAGAAACAGGTTAATGGGTCAAAACCTGGAACAAAACAAAACCCCTCAGTGATCCCAGGCTGTTCCCAAGCACTCAATTTGTGAGAAACAGTATGTCAGCCTGACAAGCAGAGTTCACTCAGGATGGCTCTGCCTCCATCCCCCTCATGTCCCTGCTGGCTCTGCTATGCCCTTTGCTTTGGAGCTGCCATAGCACAGTCCTGTGTTTGAGCAGAGTGGAGTTCCAACACCAGATCTCTGTCTCCTGGCCATGTGAGCTCTGCCAGGCTACCTCAGTGTTCTGAGCTTCAGTTTCTTCATTTGTAAAATGGGACTGAGCCCAGCACTCCAGCCTCACAGGCATTTGTGGGGCTGGAGCGAGACAATGACCATAATGCATGCAGTCAGCCCTGCACCTCTGGACCCATCAAGGCAAGCCCTACCGTGATAGTTCCCTCTGGAAATGTGTGCAGATCTCTCTGTCCCCAGATGGGGTCCAGAAGCAGGTTTGGCTAGAGAAGGTCATGGTGGTGCTGGTTAAAGCATCTTGGGACAGAGAATGGACAGGTGCAATGAATATCGGTGTCTTGAGATTTAGGAAGTGTTTGGTGACCCTTGACTATGTGCTTCAGTGTACATGTGTCCTCACCATGACCCCACCTGCCTGATCAGAACTGGCCAAGGGCAGGAGCATGAGGGTAGAGGACGGGCAGTTCTGATCAGGCCTCTCTTGCTCTGCTCTGTGTGTTTTTCATCCTGCATCTTGGGATCATCAAAATACTACGAGACATGCTTTTAAATCCTGATTTAGGTGGAGGAAATAGCAATTAGGAGTGGGGTCTCAGGAGCAGACCATCATCAAGTGGAACTTTGTCTTCTTACTTCCTGGTGTGAGACCCTGAGCAAGATTCTTCACCCCATCAGGCCTCAGTTTCCCTTCCTGTACAGTGGGTATGAGGATGAACATGATGATGCTTCCAAGGACAGGAGGATGCAATGAGATACTGCATTTAAAATATGTAGTGCAAAGCTTGGGCTTTGAGTATTATGTGAATACACACTCAAATAATCATGTTCATTCTCAGCAATCCCTGCTCTGGGCAGAGGCTGGAAGAGTGAAATTCAGCCCTGGAGATGGGGCAGTGGGGCCCCAAGCTGGAGCCTCTTTGCTCTGAGGGAAATTGGGAGGCCTTGCTCAAGCGGGCAGAGACATTTTCTGAGCAAGCCTGTTTTGGGGAAGCCCACGCACATCTGTGTGTGAGGACACAGCCTGGAGGGAGGCCTTTCTCTACGAGGCGGGGCCCGGGGACATGCCTCCCTTTCCTTCCATGCCCAGCCTGGACAGCCTGAGAGGTGCACCCTCTGCCCCACACAGGGGGCTCTTCCCATTCTCGTCCTGGCCACCTTGGCAGGAACTGGGGAGTGGTGAGGGAGTTATTCACGATTCCCCTGAGGTTAAAGGGTAAGAGGATGGCGGAAGTTCTAAGGGAAGCCAACCCTGCCTTCCTAGCCTGCAATCGGGACCAATGCTGTGGGATTGGTCCTTTCTCATCTCACAGAGGAGGAGCGCCCTGGACCGCTGTGCTCCAGGCTCAGTTAAACCCATTTCCCAGGCCCCCTTTCCTGCCATTTGGTCTGTACTGAGAACCTGTCACAGGGCTAAGCCTACTTTGGGGCCTGAGTCTTGCACTCAGGACACCTTTACCCTGTCTGCAGTGGACGCAGGGAGAATTTGCTTTGAGGGATGGACAGGCAGAAGCCCCGGCATCCGCACAGGGGGATGTGGAGTGCTCACAGCCTGTGTGCCATTTCCCAGCTGGGTCTGCTTCCATGGGCAGCAGTGGATGCTGCGTCTCAGCAACTGAGGCACTTAGACATCACACTGGTGCATGCATGCACATGGACGCACGTGCGCCTGCCCCCCACCCCCGCATCCCGAGCCAGGGAGGTGATGCAAATGAGCCCGGTGTAAACAATGCGAGAGTGGTCTGTGATGTCCTGGAAACCACATGGAAGGAATTTTCAGAGGGAATGAATTTTCTAATTTTAGAAACACTTCCACCCAGGTGCTACTACCCGAGGCCTGTTTATCCCCATTTGGTGGTGGCAATGATGCGTCTGTGCTCTAGGACCCCTCATGATGTGGGGCTGGACACTGAGGTGGGGCAAGAATGGCCTGCGGGACTTCGAGGAATCCTAAGGAGGCATCATCCGAAGGCTGTGGTTTCATCCACAGTCATAGGGCCTTGGCATGCTGGCAGAAGCACCCACCAGGTACCCTCAGTGCTTTTGACAGCCCTGATCCTGTCTGCAGGGGGTCCAGGGAGGAGGCTGCTAATGAGAGGTTGTAGCCTTTTAGCAGCTGCCTGGTCCCTGCAGCTGACACTGTGAGTACCCTTGAGTCACATGTCTTCCTAGCTTTTAAGAAATCCGCACTCCCTACCTCCCTAGGGTTTCTGCAAAGTGAGGCCCTCTATTTCCAGTCTTATTTCCTGTCTAGCAGCAGTGCCCTTGTAAATGAAGCCTGGAGTTCTCAACAGAGGATTTCAACAAAAAAGAGGCTTAGGAGAATAAGGAATTTGCAAATCTTGTGTACTGGAAATAGACCAGGAGTTCAGTGATGCTGGAAGAAACTCGAGATTTGCCCAAGAACACCAAACCCCTCTCTCTAGTTTCCCATTCACTCCCAGCACTCTAGAAAGCCCAAGCAAGATCATTTGAAAGCCTGGCCATTAGAAGGGAACTCATGGCCTATTTTTAGTCTGCATCTCCTATCAAAACCAAGAGGGAGGCCCATTCTCAGCATAACAGCAGTCCCCTGTACGGAGATAAAGGCTGTGGTTAAGACGAGCACTATACGCGCGTGCACGTGTGTGTGTGTGTGTGTGTGTGTGTCTGTGTGGGTGTGTGCGTGTGCGCGCGCGCATGCACATGGGAGTGTCAAGGGCCACAGACTCTTCCATTGACTGAGATAAATCAGACTGTTAAACTGTCTCTAGCTAATCCATTAGAAGGATAGGTACATACATCTTAGAACAGCCTCTCGACAGGAGGTGGGCCTCAGCTCTGGGTGAAGTGTGGCTAGGGAAACTGTGGGATTCTTGGCATTTTACAGATTTCGAAACCAAAGTCTAGAGGGAGCAGGGTGGACTCAGATCAACAGATATGGAAACCTATTTAGGGTGGCCTTCCTTTCCCCAGGATGGCTTGTTTGCTTGTTGGGGATCTTGGCCATCATTCCCTTCTGTGTAGATGACAACGTGATTCTGAAAGTGGCTGGATCTGGCTCCTCCATCAGCGCCTCCACTCAGAGCCTCAGCAGAGCAATTCTGAACCTCCTCCTGCTGCCTGCTGGGCAGGGCTTCCTACTCTGCAAGGCAGGGAAGGTTTTGGCCAGAGCTCTGGCCTTTGTGAAAGTTGAAGGACCAGGGTTCCGGGCTGGCTGTCTCTCTGACATGCAGCATGACCTTGGGCAAGGTCACCACTCGCATTTGAGCTCAGGTGCTCCATCCTATAGCAGGAGGGGTGGGGTTAAACCATCCAGCAGCCCTTCATGATCTAACTCACGGCCTAGATGCTGGAAGAGCTTACTGGTCAGCTCATGGCTGAACCCAGCCCAGTGCTCCTGAAATGACCCAGCTTCCCATTGAGCTCTGGAGTGTGTCATGGGGGCTTCTGCTGAGAGGGTTTCATCTTCAGTTCCACTTAGCCATGCTCAGTTCCTGCATCCTTAACCTGTCTGAACACGTGGCCAGCAGGTCCAGCATCTCCGTCATACAGATCAGAAAGTGCAGCCGCCGAGGGGGCAGGGGCTCCCCAAGGTCAGGCAAGTGACTGGGCTAGGGCAGGAACCAGCACTGCGTGATTTTGACCTAGGAGAACTTCCCCATTTGGCAAGACCCATGGGTAAGCTTTTGCCCAGTGGTGGGGAAGGGCTTTGATAGGGGATGTGTCTCCTCTCTGTCCCCAGGGGACAATGTGGCTCAGAGTTAAGGGCTCAGAGTGCTGCCCGTTCACTTCCCCAATACAGATCCTGGCCCTGTAGGGGGCACGGGGCTAAGGGTCAGGCCTGCCCTGGGGAAGTGAGCAGGCAGGGCTCAGGATGGTGGCTGTGGGCTCTGCTCTAACAATCTGCCCTCCTGGCCAGTTGAGCAGCCCTGTGATTCTGCTGGGTGAGGGAGGGGATCCCAGCATCTCTGGGAAGCATCTCTGCTGCTAAGACCACAGTTGACTCCTGCAGCCAGACCTCAGACGGGAGTCTGGGTTCCTACAGGGTGTTCTGTTAACAGGGTCCAGCATGGGCCCGAGGGAAGCCTGTGATCTCCATGTCCAGCCTAGCTCAGGCTGTCCCCACTGGGCAGAGCTGCTCATGACTGGGAATTCTCTCTCCATGAGGTAGGGCTATGGTTTGAGTAAAGCAGGATGAGCTCAGCTGACCTTTTGTAGCTGCACAGCGAGGCCCAGCCCTTTCACCTTCTGTCTCCACCTCCATCTCATGACAACTCTCTGAGTAGGTGGGGTAGACCCCTGGAATCATTTTGCAGATGAGGATCTTGAGGCTTCCCAAGGTCATAGGGAGGGTGAGTTGCCAAGCAAACATCCAGCACCCAGCCCTCTGGCCCCTGGCCTGAGGCTCACCCCACTGCACCTGCTGCTGCTCTACAGAGCAGTGTTTCTGGGGGTCTTGGGAAAAAATTGAAGCACAGAAGTGGCCAGATGTGCCTGCTGTCTTTCGGCCACCTCCCACCCCTCAGGCAGCCCTATCTGCCGTGCCAGTGTGCAAGGATCAGCAGCCAGGAGGCGGGGTCTTACCTGCAGCAGTGGTAATGCCCAGGAGCCGGCAGGTGTATTCCAGCCCAGTCCAGAACACCTGGAGCTTCATGGTGCTGGGGGTGAGGACAAAGTCCCGGCAGGGCGGGCAGCAAAGTCTCCGGCCCTGAGATGCTCCCGAACACCCTTGTGCAGGTAGGAGGCTGTGGCTGCTGGCTCGGGGCCCCTGCACACCGGGGCCCTGCCTTCCCAAACCAGTCCTGGCCACCGCAGCCTGGCCGAGGTGTGAATAGGGCTCACCTTCCCAGCTCAGCCCGTGCCCTTGCCGGGGACTCAGCTTAATCATTACCTTGGAAGAATGCTCCCGCTGCTCACACAACCCCAGCCTGGGCTGGAGCCGCTCAGCCCCAGCGCAGCCCAGCCGTCTGAGATCGGCGATTAGGGCTGGGCTGGAGGCAGCCTGGAGCTGGCAATTAACCATTTCTGGCTGGGAGGAGGGAGCCAAGGAGTAGGCCAGGCCCTTTCTTACCAGGCCATGCCTAGGAAGTCACACCTGGATTTCACACTTGCTGGGGGTCTGGAGCGTCAGGCTCTGGAGGGGACAGTGCTCTTGCAGGTCTGTGCTTGTGTGCATGAGGGAGAGAGGAGTATGTCTTTAAATCACCAGTAGAAACAACTTTTGAAATGAGTTCCAAGCTTCATTCTTCTGCATATAGGTGGATTAGGAAGCTTTTCAAGTTTGTCCCAGATTTGGACTCTGACTAGACATACTTAGCTCAGGCCCCCCCATGCAGAGGCCTTCCTTCCTCATTAACATGCATCTCAACATGGGATGTTGGAAATCATTTTGGTTCTTTGCTTTGCGAGGGGAGTTGCTATGTCAATAATTAACTGGGTGACCTTGGGGAAACCCAAAGGCATCTGTGAGCCTTGGTAACTTTTGGAGAAAATAAATGTGAGGTTTTGGCTGAATTGGTGTTTTTCAAAGTACTTGGAGTGTCCTTGTAGCTGTTTCAGGGAGCCCAGCCTTTACACTTGGCCAGTGGGGGGCTTTCACTCATTCTTAATTTACTAATGGATATGCTGGATTGAATGGTATTAAGATTCATTAATCTTATTATGAATGGTATTACCTCTCAGGTGTTTTTCTGAAATCTTTTACCCCTTTGCTCATATAAGATAGAAAACAAAACAACCAAATAAGGAAAAACAACTCCAAGCAAACCCAATACACATGCTCCTCAACTTACGATGGGGTTATGTCCCCAAAACCCATCAGACATTGAAAATATTTTAAGTTAAAAATGCATTTAATCCACCCCACCTACTGAGCATCATAGCTTAGCCTGGCCTACTTCAGCGTGCTCAGAACACTCAGTTTATGGTTGGGCAAAATCATCTAACACAAAGTTTATGTTGTAATAAAGTGTGGAATATCTCATGTAAGAATATATTGTACTGCATGTCGCTAGCCCAGGAAAACATCAAAATCCAAAATTTAAAGTACAATTTCTACTGAATGTACATCATTTTCACACCATCCTAAGTCGAACCATGGAAAGCTGGGGACTGCCAATAATAATGGGAAACTCAAGGACAGTTAGTTTGGGTCCTTCCTTTCCCTTCCCTACCCCTGCCCCTGTCCTTGCCCCTTCCTTTTCTCTTTTCTTTCTTTCTTTTTTTTTTTTTTTTTGAGATAAGGTCTTGTCTGTCGCCCAGGATGGAGTACAGTCACGCAAACACTGTGGCCTCAACCTCCCAGGCTCAGGCAATCCTTCCACCTCAGCCTCCCAAGTAGCTGGGATTACAGGTGCACACCATACCTGGTTTGCATTTTTCTTTGTTGAGGATGATACATTCTCAACATATATAATGAACAGATATCTTTGTTATTAAAATTATTTTAATTTGATTGGTTGATCAAGAATCTTGGCATTCCATAAAGATTACCTTTTTTTTTGTATTTTTCTGCCTTGAATGAGTTTAGGAATCTCTGTGCTCATGTGATCTTCAAGATCAAGTTTATAAGTGTATGATTTACATACTTATTTCCGGGTTTGTTGTTGTCTATTAGCAGACTCTATCAACTTCAGTCTTTTGAAACACCCACGCACACCCACTCCCCCAAATGCAGGTGTTCCGGTCTCTGTGGCACAGACTGAATTGCACAGATGGAGCTGCGGGGGCCGGGATTCAGCAGTGCTGGCAGCTCCCTGTCCTTTAGGAACCCTTGATCTGCATGGGTCGGGAAGCTCTGGCCAGCCTGCAGTGCTCACTTGCTTCTTGCTGGCTAACAGTCACTTATTTTTGTTTTGTATCTGACGGCCACCTGCTCAGAAGATATGAATTCCTTCCGGGCCTGGTTCAGTCCACAGGTTAGTCCACCGTCTCCCCTTCCCAGAGACTGCTTTAGGAATGAGAGGGTGTGACCCAGTTCTGGTCAAATAGCCCAGACAGAGTGTGTGCTGAGAAGCTTCTGGGAAAGCCTCCCTCGCTTTTAACAAGAGGGAGAAGACCAGCTGGACGCCCTCCCTTTGGATGCACCTGCTCAGGTTGGCCAGCTGTCTCCTATTGTGGCAGGACTCAGCCAAGGCCATGACCAGCTCAGGGCCTGGCCCATGAGACAGGAGCAGCACTGGGCAGCGGAGGATGTTTTGGAGCTGCTAAACTTCCCTGTTCCTAATTGTCAAATGGGTGGTGTAGGCTTCCAGTTAGAGCTAAGAGCATTTTGTTGACGGTGGACTGTGTCTGAGCTGTGCTCTCCCCACAGCCTTTCCCGCAGAAGGCTTTTTTTTCTGTGCACTGGGCTCAGGTTAGGGGAACTGGGAACTAATAAGGCTGAGGGTTATCCTGGGACTGCCCCCATAAGAGGGAGGGAAGAGGCGGGTGTTGGGTGATGGTGGAAAGAAAGTAGGGCCTGTGGCAAAAAGCAAAATATGGAGGAACCTCAGAGAAGGCCCCTCTTGAATAACCCACAAAGAGGGCTCTTTTGGAACTTCCGACTCCTCTACTACCATCTAAGCCCATCTGTGGAGCCCCCGGAGGAGGGGGAGTTCTGGCTGGGCGGGTGTGCTCCTTAGACCTCTCCGGAGTTAGAGAAGAGGTTGCCAGGAACAAAAGGCCACAGCCTAAAATAGAACTTGGAAGAGATGGTGGTGAAGCCCCAGACATCCACGTCTGACCTAGCAGTTGCTAATGGACCCAGAGGAAAAAGAGAACGGGCATTTCCTGGAGAAATCAGCACACACCCGGGAAGCTCTGCTTCTAACAGGCTTGTGAGAGGCAGAGGAGGGGGAAGGACAGAGGGAAGGACAGAGAGCCCCAAGGCAGTGAGGGAGGTGGAAACCTGCCAAGTGCGGAAAAGTACTATGAGAAGGGAGTCTCAAGTTACAGCATTCATGAAGCAGAGTGGACAGGGGCCCGGCTGCCAGGGGAAAATGGTGCGATGTGGATATCACACAAAGAAAGCACAATTGCCATTGCATCCTAAGGAGTCCAAATCTGGGCTAGTGAGGGGATGCTGGGGTAGGGGAGTTTTAGCTCAACGTAAGGGATGACGCTCCGCAACCTGCCACTTGGTGTTAGGCTGAGCTGCTGCGGGAGGTAGTGACGCCCTGTAACCTGTTTTGGTGCTGGGTGGGGGAGGATGTCCCGGACAGTTCTCACACACTGACTCAACCATTCGGACCCAGGAGTCTGTGTTTCTGGGCATCTGCAATTCCTGAAAGAACGCTGAGAGCTCTGAGAAGAGCTCTGAGAAGTTGAAAAGGACTCTGGAAGGCAATCTCTGCTGGACCCCGGCATGCAAAAGACCACAGCTGGGGCTTCCTCGCTGCCAGTTCTTTCTTGTCCATGGTCCTTGGGTATTTGGTCAGGCAGAGCAACCATGTATGAAGGGAAGGAGGCTGGAAGAGGGAGGAGGGGAGGGGAGCAAAGCCCAGCTTCACAGTTAGCAGCTGTGTGGCCTGAGTCATTCCTTACTCTCTTAGTCCTAATTTCCTCATCTATAAAATGGGTCTAGAAGTTGTCTTACTGGGTCAGATGTACTGTGTCTAGAGAGGGTGCCAGGAAATGGGTGCTAATATCATAAGAGAACAAAGAAAACTGGCCACCCTGACCAATCCTGCATAGGTTTTGTTATAGGATTCCACCTACTGAACCAACACTCCAAACTGGGGACAGAGCCTGGACCCCTGGCCATGGAAAATTGGGCTAAAGGGAGTAGCTTTTCTTTGGAAGGACGAGCTCATCCAAAGTCCATATTCACCATATTGTTTCATTTCACTGTACACTAAGCAGAGTGTCTGTGTGCAGGAGCAATAGAAGGACAGACTGACTCAATAAAACTATAATCGAGTCCCTTGGCAGTCAATGTCTGGCCTCCAGGGCTTGTGAAAAATAGCTAGTGTTTGCTTAACGTTAAATGCATTCCAGGTACTGTGCTAAATGATATATGAATAACTCTATTCTTCCCGTTTTACAGATGAGGGAGCAGCGTCATGGGAGGTTAGGTGGACTTGCCCACGGCTTGACCCTCTGCTGACACTCAGTTTCATAGGTGCCTCAGGCATAGAGCTGCCTAGTGAGAAGAGAGTCTCCACAGCCTCGGGGCAGAAGATTTGGGAGGACTAGAGGCAGAGGTGCTGATCTCACTGCTCCTAGATCTGCAGAGCTGATGCTGGATTTGGGGAAGGCTCACATCATCTTCCTTCCAGGTGGTCCAGGTGAATAAACTCCCCCAGCAGTCAAGACCACAGGTCCCCCAGCCTTGCCTGGAGCTTCTGTTACTATAAATACATGCTTTGTAGACATTCCAAGCCATAGGGGATGGACATAAATTATACACCATTGATAGCAGCACACAAATTCTAGATGCCTGGGTGGCTCTGGGGAGCATGAGAAGTCGGGGGAGGATGAAACAGGGGTGTGTGCTACTCTTCAGCTGTGGGGTGAGGAATTTTCCACAACACAGCAGGAAGGTCATGGGCATTACTCAACGCCAGTGTCTGTCCCTAGAGACAAGTCACCAGAGCTAACCTAAGCCTTTGATCTCTTCTGAACCCCCTCCACCACCTCATCCCTCAACTCAATGTCAGCAGAAGAAAATAGAGACCCTCAGATGAGCACCCTGCATACCTCTCACATCCCTTGCAACCATCCTTCACCTGTCCTTTCCTTCCACTAGAGGAAGGGGAGTTAATTCTCTCAGCTTGTGCTTCCAGTCACTGTCCTCATATGTCCTCTGGAACTCTAGATCATCAATTAAGTCTCTGTCCCATGTCTTCCAATTTTCCCCTCCTCCTCTTCCCACTAGCCAAACCTTTTGTGTACAGAACAGCTTTCCCCTGCAAACCACTCTCAGCCTCACATCACCACCAATACTCTGGAAAGTGGTTTACTTTTACCACGACCTGCCATTATGTCTTCATTTTCCACCCACTTCTCCATCTGCTAAGAGGTGACTTTTACCTGCTTTTGTAGCATTGTGGCTGGCCATGCCAGCCTGGAAGCTGGTCACCAGGTCCAGTGGCCTAATTTCCATGCTCATTCAGTTCCCACTGCCTGGACTTTTTAGCATTTGAAACCACCCTGTCCTTCTGGACAATCTCCCTTATATATTATTCTCTGGTAGTCATCCTACATGCACTGGGGCTTGCATTCTTTCTTTTTTCTGTGCATCCTTTACAGAGTCCTCTTTTTGTGCTGTTTCCTGGCTGGTGATCTATGGTTGGCAGCCTCCAATGAACCACCCTCCTGTTATTCACATCCTTATGTGGTCGCCTCCCACATTATACCTGGGTTTGCCTATAGGACTGAGCACAGCAGAAGTGGTAGCAATAGTCCCAATATTGAGTTATAAAAGTTACGACCTTGGTCACTCTCTCACTCATGGGTTGCTCTCTTAGGGGGAAGCCAGTTGCCTCCATGAGGAGCCCTGCAGAGAGGCCCATGCAGTGAGGAACTGAGGGCTCTTGCCAGCAGCTGCTATGTTAGGAAGCTTAAAGGCTGATGCCTCAGCCCCAGTTGAGCCTTCAGATGTTGGCAGCCCCAGCTGACCACGTGGCTACAACCTCACGAGAGGCCTTGAGCCAGAGTCACCCAGCTAAGCTGCTCCCAGGTACCCTTAGAAACTGTGAGATAATAGATGCTTGTTATTTCAAGTTGCCAGGTGTCAGGGTAATCTGTTACTCAGCAATACACCAAGGCATCATTTGCAACCCTCTCTCTCCCATCCATTCTCTGCTCTCTTCCTGGTTATTGCTAAGAAGCTCTGTGGCCTGAACACCATAAACAGAAGGACTGTTCCTAGCAGGGATTTAACACCAGCATTTCTCCTCAGCCATGAGCTCCATTTCCACCTACCTATTGGTCACCTCTGTGTCACACTCAGTGTATTCCAAATCAAACCGTCTTTCCACCTCAATTCCTTTCCACTTCCTGGACTTTACATCTTGGCTACTGGTTTCATTATTACCCTTGCCACCAAATCTGGAAACAAAATAAGTTCTGACAATACTTCTTCCTCTTCCGTTCTGCCAGTCCTCATCCTCATTGCTCCACATCTGCCATCTTTCATCTGCGGCTCCCATCCCTCTCATTTCTTGTACAGATGCTGCCCTAGTCTCCTAATGAGCCTCCTAGCCTCCAGCATCATCCCTCTCCAATCTGTCCTCCACCTGCAGGAATTCACTTTGGAAATAGCAGGTCTTCACACATTACATCCCTGCTTAAGACTCCCAGACATTTTCCATTGCCTAAAGTCTGAATTCCTTCATCCATATCCCAGGCTTTCTGCAAGCTTCCCCCGCACCACCTCTCTATCTTCCAGCATCCATCCTTCTCCTTCTCCTTCTCTTCCAGACTGACTCCAAGGCCACGCAGACAAACGCTTTCCTGTTGCCTTTGTCATGTTCTCCTTATTCTTTTGTTACTTCTTTCTCCTTTTTCCCCCTCAACATTCTCTTCTGCTTATCATCATCACACACATTATTCAAAGTCCAGATCAGTTGCCCCCCGACAGTTGTTGATCCCCACAATCAGAGTTAGTTACCTGCCCTCCAGCCCCCAGCACTAATCCCTTTGGTTTTGTTTTGTTTTGTTTTGCATTGTTTCTTTTTTTGAGATGGAGTCTCTCTCTGTCACCCAGGCTGGAGTGCAGTGGCGTGATCTTGGCTAACTGCAGCTCCTGCCTCCTGGGTTCAAGCAATTCTCCCACCTCAGCCTCCCAAGTAGCTGGCACTACAGGTGTGTGCTGCCACACCCGACATTTTTTAAACTTTTAGTAGAGACGGGGTTTTGCCATGTTGCCCAGACTGGTCTTGAACTCCTGGGCTCAAACGATCCTCCCTCCTTGACCTCACAAAGTGCGGGGATTACAGGCATGAGCCACCGTGCCCAGCCCCTTTGTATCTGAATTCCCTAAATTAATGCTGGGATCTCCCACCAGATGGGAAGATTTGTAAAACCAGAGGTGGTAGATGATGGAATGAATGAAGGGGACTTGTCCAAGGGGGCCCTTTTATTTAGATTCATTTCCGTAGAATCAATTGGCCAACATCCATGAAGCAGGTAAAGCCACACAGCCAACCGTGGAACAAGGTGCAGTGGATACATTTTCAGGCTCACCTTTGTCCCTCACCCTCCCTCCGTCTCTGAGTTAGATGCAGTCCCCGTTTCCTGCTTCACACCGTGGGCAGTATCTAGAGTACGTGCAGAGCCTGTGTTCCCAGCAAAGCAGAAAGGCCCTGTTATTGTGCATGATTCTCCTGACCATTGCCCAGCAAGTCAATCTTTAGCTTCCAGGGCATTAGAACTGCCTAGTCCACTGGGCATTGGTCTGTGTGGGGTCGGGTGAGATACCTACTCCACAATGGGGCTGTGGAACAGCTGGCTCTGCTCCCCCTGCAGCTCATATGGGGGACTTAGCAGCTGTCATTTGCCACCTGGTTTCTGGTAGGGTGATGGTGCAGTGGTTTTCCAGCCAGATTACCTGGAGGGGAATCCTGATTGGAGCTAAAGGTCAGTGTGAGCTTGTGCAGCCACACTATTTGAGCACTGGTTTTTCTGTTCACAAAGAGGTAGTTGAACCCTTCAGATCCTTGTGAGTCACTGAAGCTGAGGTCTTTATCACCATGAGCTCCATTTCAACGAAGCCTCCTTGAAAGAGGGCACTGACAGAGTGAGAGATTGCTGTGCCAGCCGGGGTCAGGCCAGGGATTGCCTCTTTGCTGCGCAAGCTCATTGGACATCCTTCAATGTCTCCTGGCCCTGCCGGGTAGCTCTGTCTCCTGGAATGAGATGTCGCGAGGCAGATTTACAATGTCTGGCCACGGAAGAGTCTGAACCTTCCCGGGCCTGGCCTTCTAGATGAAGGCAGATTTCTGTAAATTGGTGTCTGACGTCAGTCCTCCCCAGAGACCCAGGAGATTAAGTACACAGCATTCAAGAGGTTAAGTCCCCAGTGCCTCCAGGAACAGATTCCAACATGCAGAGGAAGCAATATTTCAGGCGAAGGCACCGAGGGTCTGTGGACAGGGTCCCCCTCTGCTGTTGCTGTGAGGAAGGGGTTTCCTCATTAATCAGAGCCTCTAGGGGTGAGGGCCTGGCCCAGGAGAAAGCACAAAGGATCCTCTGTGAGGGCTGGGCTGCGCTCTTCAAGGGGTGTAGGGCTGAGTAGACTTTGGAGGGATGTTACAACCTCCCATCTGTGTCAGTGCTTTTTGTGATAATGTCTCTGAACATTTGATTTTTTCAGTTTAAAATAATTCTCAAAAGATGGCTAAAGTTCTATCAGGAAAAATGAGAATTTAGTCAGTAAAAGTCATTTGTAACTTCCCTAAGTGTTAAAATTGTGTTTTATTTATTTGGCTTTGTTCATTCACCTGCCATCAACCAATTGCCAATCCACATAGTAAAAATATATACTTCCTGGCATAACTGAAAAACAAAACCAAAAACAGGCTTATTTTTGAAAACTCAGGGACTTCCAGATACATATAGTTGCTCAGTGATCGGCATTTGGCTCTTCCCCACTGAAAAACAATGTGAGAATTTTAAAAACATTCATTCTGAAGACACAGATAAGAGCAGACAGGACTTCTGGTTAAGGATGGCGGGGTAACTGATTTTGCGGAACACGGGAGGGTTCTGCCGGCAGTAGGCTGTTCCTGTGAGCAATGAGTGCTTCACCTGATCCCACTTGAAGGGCTTTGCACCCAGAGACACCAGAAATTAAGCAGAGATTGGGCTTGGGGCTGAAAATGAGGGGATAGCTGAAAGTCTACCTCTAGAGCAGTCGGACCCCAATCTCCTTCTCCCGCTCCACCCAATCTGGGAACCCCCATCCCTCTTTTCCTCCCTGCCCCCTCCTTCCCCTTCTGCTTCCTCATCCAATGCAGACCAGAGGTTTATTCTCCAGATGAACTGAGTGGTGATGGACCAGGCCTTGGCAGGCTGGGTGACACAGAGGATGGAGACAGGGCTTGAAGCCAGACTTGTGCCAATCAGTGGCTCTTCAGTCCCCATCCCCAGAACAGCAGCAGGGCACCTCTATCCCAGGTAGTTAGAGAACTCTTCTTGGAGAGTGTCAGTAACCCCAGAAAAGACGGTGATATGGTTTGGCTATGTCCCCACCCAAATCGCATCTTGAATTGTAACTCCCACAATTCCCACACATCGTGAGAGGAACCCAGTGGGAGGTGATGGAATTATGGGGGTGGGTCTTTCCTGTGCTGTTCTTATGATAGTGAATGAGTCTCATGAGATCTGGTGGTTTTAAAAATGGGAGTTTCCCTGCACAAGCTCTCTCTTTGCTTGTGCTGCCATCCACATAAGATGTGACTTGCCCCTCTTGCCTTCTGCCACGATTGTGAGGCCTCCTCAGCCATGTGGAACTGTAAGTCCAGTAAACCTCTTTCTTTTGTAAATTGCCCAGTCTTGGGTATGTCTTTATCAGCAGTGTGAAAATGGACTAATACAGGGATACTAACATTTGGGGGAACAAAAATTCTGTGACCCCGTGGTGAAGCCAACAAGTCTTTGAAATCTTCAACACTCACATGTGATACTTTCAATCAGTTTTTCAGAGCATTGTCCTAGGTATGAGGACAGCCCAAAGTCAGCTGGCATTTGAGGAAAGGATTCAACATGAAGCACAGAAACCAGGACAAACAGAAAAAGGGGACCCAGAGAGGGCAGTGCAGCCAATGTAGGACACATACAGAAAACTTGAAAAAATAATATACCCTACAGATACTATACTGAGTGATATATGAGAAAATGTTACATCTATAAAACAAGGACAGAATACCATGGAAAGTAACCAGACCACAAGAATCTCAAAATTAAAGGCAGGCAAAAAATAAAAAAAAACCCAAATAAAATAAAACCAGAAAACAACAGAATGGTTAGAAGCTAAAATCAAGTAGAACAAAAAGGCAAAGGGAAATAGAAGAGAAACCATAAAACAAATTATAGGATTTATTCTCAAGGCCAGTCTGCTGACCTATAAGAGTTCCAGAAACAGAATGTGGGGAGGAAAGCTTCAAAGATGTAATGCAAGAAAATTTCCCAAAACTGAAGAAAAGGGGTCTTCAATGTGATTATGTCTTAGGAAGATGGGAAGAGGGTTAGTGAAGGGAAATTCAAAAGTTAATGCCTACAGCTAATCAATTAAAAATTGCAACATGAATATAGTACCAAAAATATGACAGTGAAGGTGAGAAGAATTTCCTAGAAGTGTTAATGACAATGTTTGTCTGTGGGTAGAACTGGGGGTGGAAAGGGTGAAATGGGACGGCTCTGTATTACTGTTGTTTGTCTTTTTAAGACTTACTGTTTCTTGACTTTTTAAACTTAGTATTATTTTGAAAAAAATAAAAAAGTATTTAAGAAAAGGAACAGGCATAAATATTAAGAAAATACTGCCTCCACATCCAGATTTTAACATACTACAATACATCCTTCTAGATATATTTTTATGCATATACAGAAAAACATTTTACCATAAAAAGTTAATATGCATGTTGCTAAATGATTTATTTAACCTAAATACTGAAATCATCTGTGTGCCAACAGAAATATTCAGAGTGCTTATACATGGAAGTCTCACTACAGATACTGCAGAAAAGAATGAGGCCCTGTACAGTTCACAGCAATAAAGGCTACGTGAATTGAGTGCCACGAGGGAGAAATAAGCAGGCTGAGCTGACCCAGGGAGGCTTCTCAGAGGAGGTGTTTTTGGGAATCACCCCAAGTCACAAATGGGAGGCCTCAGCACCCAAGAGGATGAAATCAGCCCGGGATCATTCCAGCCCTTGCCGCCCACAGCCACTGAAGTGCTTGTCTGAGTCTTGCTGGAAACATGGGCCCATATTAGTGATTACGTGCCTTGCAGTAGCAGACTCAAAGCTTTCTCTGCTGAGAAGTTTCCAGCAGTTCCATCAGTGTGAGCCAGGAACTGATGACCTGAACGACCTGGAGCATGGCAAGGTCCCTGCTGCTGGAGGTTTTGGGAGAGGCCAGGCTGCCTCTCTGTGCTGCTGGTGAGCGATTCTGAGTTTGGGGTGGAGGGCATGCCCCCATGACCTTCCATGTGGGCTGATGCCCCCAGCTCTGACCCTACCAAGTCAGCTCCTGTCTGTATGTTCCCAACTTTAAAAGCCAGGCTCTCACTTTTCCTCTGCCTTTTTGCTTTTCATGTTTCCTTGCTGATTCAGGCTGTGGGTAGAGTCAGTTCCTTGTACCTATAGGACCGAGGTCCCTGTTTCCTTGCTGTCTGTCAGGGTAGGGCTGTTCCCAGCTTCTAGAGGGACCCACATTCCTTTGTTTGCGGCCTCCTTTCTCTGTCTTCAAACCAGCAAATGTGACCCAGTCCCTCTCACCAGTGAGTCTCTGCTTCTTTGCTCCTCTCTTTCTTCCAGCTGGGAAGGGAGTGCCATTGTAATTACAATGGGCCCACCTGGATGACCCAGGCTAGTCAGTCACTGTATCTTCAGGTCAGCTGGTTAGCAGCCTTAATTCTGTCTGCAGCCTGAATTCCCTTTCTCCAGCAACGCAACACTCACAGGTGCCAGGGATTAGGACCTTGACACTATTCTGCCCCATCCACTCTCCATCCTTCCTCCACACACTCTGCCTCTGCTGAAGACTGGGGTGGGGAACTTCAGCACAAGAAGTCAGAGTGCTTTAGTTAGCCTTGCAGAGAATGCTCATGCCAGAGAAAAAGCTACACTGTGGGAAAGCAGAAAGCAGCAGCCTAGGCCTGCGGTTCTCCAAGGAGACTTCCAGGACCAGCGGCATCACCCCAACCAGGAACCTGTTAGAAAGACAAATTATGGCCCCACCCAGACCCACTGAATCACAAACTCTGGGGTGGGGCCCAGCAGTCTTGGTTTCACAAGCCCTCTAGGAGATTCTGATGAGATCCTTTGCTCCAGAACAATCACCCTGCTTCTCTTGCTTTGGTTCTGGTGGGCCCATCAGGGAAACTGCAGGTAGGGCCCTCTGCATCGTGCTTGGCCCAAGTAGTTCTTTTTAGACTGCTGGTGCCTCCCAGCCACTTTGTGCCACCCCTGGAGGACTGGGAGCTCAATTTCCTCAGAAGCCAGGCTGCCAATGCCCTGAAAAGGTAACATGACCCAGAAAATCGACCAGCAGGAACTGAAAAGTCTTTGGCAGGGTCTCCAGGGAAGCCTGCCTGGCTCCTGGCTCGGACGGGGATGCAGGAAGGCAGGACTACAGGGGAGGAGCCTCAAGACAGCTGCATGCAGGACCTGGGTGACCTGAGTTTGTGGTGCCAGCTGCAGGGCTTCTCTGCATGTGGGGCTGTCTCCATGGCCAGAGATCTTAACCTTGGAGGATGATGTGCATGGAACTCCTTGGGGTTAGCAAGCACCCAGGCGGGCGAGGGGAACGGCAGAGCAGGGGGGCTTTCAACTTGTGCAGTGGCTCACCACTGTAGTCCCAGCACTTCGCAAGGCCAAGGTGGGCAGATCACTTGAGGTAAGGAGTTCAAGACCAGCCTGGCCAACATGGTGAAACCCTGCCTCTACTAAAAATACAAAAATTAGCTGGGCGTGGTCGTGTGTGCCTGTAGTCCCAGCTACTGGGGAGGCTGAGGCAGAAGAATTGCTTGAACCCAGGAGGTGGAAGTTGTAGTGAGCTGAGATTATGCCACTCTACTTCAGCCTGGGCAACAGAGCGAGACTCTGTCTCCAAACAAACAAACAAAAAACAAACAAACAAACTTTTCTGAGAATCCCAGATTCATTCTTCACCTAAGTGTCACCTAAGACATTGGGCCTCACACTTGACTGCCCATAGGAATCACCTGGGAGCTTTCAAAAGTCCTGATGCCCAAGTCACACCTCAAATCAATTCCATCAGAATGAGTGAGGTGGGACCCAGGCTTAGTACCTTTTTTAAGGCTCCCCGGGTAATTTCAATGTGTACACAATGTGCAGGCATGTTGAGTTGAAAACTACTTGCCTAAAAGTGGCTCTTAGTCCTGGCTGCACATTAAAATCAACTGGGAAACATTAAAAAAATAATAAAGCAGGCTGCCCCCTGTGCCATAAACCAGAGTTTCTGGGGAGGGGGCCTGAGCATTGCAGGTGGTAAAAGTCCCCAGATGATTGTACTAAAGCACAGCAGGGTTGAAACCCTAGCACCATGGGCTGTGGTGCTATCTCTTGCTGGCTGTGTACAGTCCCTGGGCTCAGCCCCACCATCTCTAGGGTGGGATTGCCATTTTTAAACTCCAAGGCATGACAGTGCTCAGTAAGCCTTCCTTTGCATCCTTTGTTGTTTGCAAACTGGCTCTTATTTGTGAGCCTCAGGGAAACCTGTGGCAGAAGGAAGGCTTGAGCCCCACACATGAGACCTGAGAGTCACCCCAGAGGTGGCCTGTGTAGGTCTGGGTTGGCTTTAGAGATTATTTTTAAAAACAAAGATCTAGGACACATATTTTGATAGCTTACAGAGTGATTTTCCTAGTTTGTCTTTTTGCTCTTGCAGTTCTGTATAACCCACAGAGAAAAACCAGACAAAGGAATAAAGAAGGGACCACTCCTCAGCACTTGCTGTTGTTCAAAGATAAACTGAGGCACATAGTAAAATATCAAAGAGATTTTCATGAGCAACTCATGAATTGGGCAGTTCCAGATAGAAAGCAGTTAGGGACCCCGAGGAAGGCATGCGAGAGGAAGGCTTTTAAAAGGCAGAGGTGGGAGTAAGGCAAAGGAAATACATGATTGTTTACAGTGAGGCAGTAATTTCATTCAGATCATTCCAGTGGAAAGTCCCTAGTTAGAGAGTAGTTGGTGGTTTCTGATTGGTTAAGCTTAACTAGTAGAAAGTCGCCAGTTAGGGGTTAGTCAGCAGTTTCTGATAGGCCTAGAATATGACTGTTTATGTTGAGTTGGCTTGTGGATTCCTAACGTAGGAATCGGGGGGCACTGCAGCGGCCTCAGCCCAATGGCCTCCGGATTAATTTTTGTTTTTAACACAGGTATGACAACACAGTGGCCACATGTGCCTTCCAGGTCCCTGGTTGGGAAGGATGGTGAGGTAGCAGCAGCAGCTCCCGAGTGTAGAAACTGAAGGCTCTGCTCCTGGACGCCGCTCTTCCTGATGGGCAGCCAGTACTTCTCACAAGATACCCCCTCTGCAGGTCTCAGCCCCTGAGGTTCACTTTGTGGCTTCCAATGTCAGTGGGCCACTCTTCCTGAGATCCAGGCACCCATAGTATCATGTCATGTGGTTGTTAAAAGCAGGGTGGGGCTGGGCACGTTGGCTCTTGCCTGTAATCCCAGCACTTTGGGAGGCCGAGGTGGGTGGATCACAAGGTCAGGAGATCGAGACCATCCTGGCTAACATGGTGAAACCCCATCTCTACTACAAATACAAAAAATTAGCCAGGTGTGGTGGCGGGCGCCTGTAGTCCCAGCTACTCAGGAGGCTAAGGCAGGAGAATGGAGTGAACCCAGGAGGCAGAGGTTGCAGTGAGCCGAGACTGTGCCACTGCACTCCAGCCTAGGCAACAGAGCAAGACTCTGTCTCAAAAAAAAAAAAAAAAAAAAAAAAAAAAAAAGGCAGGGTGGGTGGGCTGGTCAGTTTTAGCTATTTACTAGCTGCATGACCTTGGTCAAGTCACTCAGCTTCTCTTAGCCTAGGTCAGGTTATCTGTTTTTAGTGGGTATGCATTTTAGTTTATAAACACTGGAATATAAAAATTGTCCCATTCTCCAAATCAGATAACTGCTCTAGTTTCCAATCACTGAGCTGGTGGAAGACAATGTACTCTGTCCAGCTGAGCAAGTATCAAGAGTTTTAAATGGTTCAAGCATGGCTGGGCATAGTAGCTCACACCTGTATAATTCCGGCACTTTGGGAGGCTGAGGCAGGAGGATTGCTTGAGTTCAGGAGTTCAAGACCAGCCTGGGCAACATAGTGAGACGCCATCTCTACAAAAAGTTTTAAAAAATTAGCTGGGCATGGGGGCATGTGCCTGTGGTCTCAGCTACTTGGGAGGCTGAGGCAGGAGGATCACTTGAGCCCAGGAGCTTGAGACTGCAGAAAGCTGTGATCGCAGCACTGCACTCCAGCCTGGGCAACAGAGAAAGACATTGTCTCAAAAAAACAAAAAAACAAAAAAACAAAAAAAGAAAGAAAGAAAGAAAGAAAAAAAGGCCCAAACATTCAGAAGAGGCTCTCTGGCATTCATTCCACACTGAAATTCTGAAATCCTCTTTGAAAATACAGAGGTTTCTTGAAGACAGTGACTGGGTCACTTCATAGGCCTATGGCAGCAGAGTGCACAAGTGGCCACAGTCCTCTCCTTCACACGTCCACACCCTTTATAACGTGACTTTGCAGTAGCTTCTCTCCCCTCTGAATCTGGGCTGGACTGTGTCTGGCTCTGGCCAATAGCATGCCGTGGGAGTGATGAGGGGCCAGCTCTGGACCTGCATCTGGCTGCAAGGCCTCCATGCCCTGCATTCTCTCTCTCCCTGAACCCCACCCAGTTGCCTCTGGAGCAAGTCTGGCTAGCTGGCTGGAGGAGTGGGGAGGAGACTGTGGGAGGTGGCCCAACTGCAAGGCACCCCCGAGACCAGTCAGCCCCTGCCCACCCAGCAGTAGAGGCACAAAAAGAACTATGTAGCTGAGTCTGCCTCAAATTGCCAATCTGCAGTATTGGGAGATAATAAGTCGCTGCATTTTAAGTTGTTAGCTTTAGAAGATTTATTACTCCGACAGAGCAGTCTTTATCCTCTCTGGGTTCTCTGCAAGGAGGGAGACCAAGCTACTGCTACTTACAGAAAGGAACCCCAACCATCCCCAGCCTCTCTCCTTCCTAGTGTTGCTAATTCCCTCTCAGCCTTGGCTGCTTTCAGCAAACTAAAGCCTGTGCAGCAGGTGCATCCTTCTCCTGGGCACCGCGTGACTTGAGGTGTTGTTCCTGAAACACGAATGCCAGTTGCAGCTCCCTTGGGAGGGGACTCCTATGTCAGAACACACAGTGGGTCCTCTCTCTAGATGAGACAGCATCAGACCATTCATTCTTGTTCTCTCTGTAGTCCCTAGAGCCCGGAAAGCAAAGGACCATCTCTGCAGGCAAAGCAGGAGCAGCGCCTGCCAGTATCTTCTAAAGGAAGTCGGAATGTGCGGGTGCTGGGTCCGCAGTCACTGCTAAATGAAGACGGAATATGTGGGTGCCGGGCACAGCGGTGGGCCTGTGGTCACTGCTAAATGAAGATGGAATATGTGTGCTGGGCACGGCGCTAGGCCCGTCGTCACTGCTAAATGAAGATGGAATATGCCGGTGCTGGGCACGGTGCTGGACCTGCAGTCACTGTTAAATGAAGATGTAATGTGCAGGTGCTGGGCACAGCATGGAGCCCATAGTCACTATTAAATGAAGATGGAATGTGGGTGCTGGGCATGGCGCTGGGCCCATGGTCACTACTAAATGAAGATGGAATATGTGGGTGCTGGGCACAGTGCTGGGCCTGCGGTCACTGCTAAATGAAGATGGAATGTGCCAGTGCTAGGCCTGCTGTCACTGTGAAGTGGTGGGGCGGGGCTGTTTCTACCTCACTGCTGCCCTGTCCATACTAGGTTTGCTCTGGCCTTCCTGTTGCCTGGGGCCTGCCCTCTCTTGCTGTTGCGGAACAGGCAGGATAATCTCTCTCCAGGGCAAGGAATGCACTCGGGCCAGGGACTCCTCACCACCAGCTTGAGGGACTGTGCCCAACCCCACCTCCTTCAGGAGGGTGTCCCAAGTTCTGTCCTTGCCTAAGCAACTGGCACCTGTGCTCAAAATATTTATTGCCCCCATGCCAGCTGCTCTCCCACTTGTCCTGTCAAAGGGAGAGTGGGGGCCTGGGGGAGTCTTGCTGCATCCCAGTCCAAGCCCATCAGATGTGGGGGACTTTTGCCCTCTGACCCTGCTCCTTATGAGGCACAGCTTGCACAAAGTGACAGCCCTGGTGCTACCTGAGCCCATGGGACTCAGCTCTTCATCCTCTCAGGGCCTCTTTTGGTCTAGGTGCCCAGGGCACTGAGCGAGACCTGGAGTGACAGGAACACATGACTCATGGAGCAGAGGTGGAACAGCCACTCGGGGTGAGTGTGTGCCCTCCCTGGGGGCCATTCCCTCTCTCTTGTCCTAGGAGCTTGGGGTGCCTGTGCTTGAGGCGGGAAGCTGTGTGCTCCTGGGAGCTGGCCATGGTGCCATCTTCTAGGGCCATTTCTCATGCCTCCCAGTTTCCAGTCCCTCCTGACTCCCCTCCTTCTGGGTCCTCCATGGCGCAATGATATATTTCATATTTCTATGGAAGGGGTGTCATGTCTCAGCCCCCACACTAGCGCACACACACACGCATGCACACACACACACACACATATATATATACACACATATATATATATATATATGTTTTTTTTTTGCCAAGTAAGCTTGGACTCAAACGTCAGTTTCTTTGAACAGATTTGTCAATGACCTCAAATTAAACTCTCCCATTTGAGAAATGGCAGGTGCTGCCCTTAATACATCTTGCAGGCCTGGGAGTGACAGGTGTGGGGCCTGCTCACCTCGGATCAACCCTCTGGGCCTTGGTGATCACATCTGTACAATGAACATCACAAACATTCTTCCAGCTCTGACACCCCGAGTTTGTAAAATGAGGTGAAAACTTGCTGGGCAAGAGAAATGATCCATTAGCAAGGACATGGACATCTTCTCCCAAACTCTTAGCTCTTGTCGAGGTTCCCAAGAGCGTACCTCTATAAAAGTTCTAGATCTGAAGGCATGCAACTTGTTAGCCAGGAAAAACACCTTCTTGCTCACTCTTGTCAGACTTTAGAATGTCAGCATATGAACAAGCTGGAATTTATATTCATAATGTTGGCCGCTGTTTGGCACTTGCTTGGATTTTGAGATATGAATTATACTTGTGATTGTGTCCCGCTCTAGGGCTTAGGTTACTTTTTATTTGAGGTTAATACATGTGGAGGATTGGATGTGGACCGGGTGAGTCTGGCCAGGGACAGATTACAGGGCCCTGGGTTATTTTCTCTTGTTCTTTACCCATTCACATTGGTGCCAATTATTTTGAAAATGAACGATGGTCCATAAATATGAGAGCAAAGCCTGGGTGCATTGCCCTGAGCCTTGCTGTCCTCCCTGGTACTGGTTTGTGCCTCCTCTTCTGGGGTGCACAGGAGAGGCAGACTGGGGCCTGGGGAGATTGGCAGTGTGACAGCGCTGGGACTGACCCTCAGAATCCCTAGTCTGAGAGTGACAAATTACCAAGCTTTCCAGACAGGCTGGTAGCTCCTATCACCTCTATTTCTAAGGAAAGAAACATAGAGACAGTTACAAATTCGTTGAGATTACCTTTGGCAATGCCTTACATTGCCCTTAAAGTATAGGGTACACAGGCTGGTGTACAGTACAGAAGCAGTGCATAGTCCAGAAATAGCACACCATAAATGAACGCTATAGAGCAATGTAGGTGTGAGATGGATGCATGTGGGATGCCATCTGACAATACACATAGAAGACAGAAAAAGGCCAGTCCATATGCATTAGGATGGCTGCTATCAGAAGAATGGGGAAGGTAAGAGTGGGTGAGGACAGAGAGAAACTGGAGCCCTGAACTTTGCTGGTGGAAATGAAAAATGGCATATCCATTGTGGAAAACAGTGCAGCAGTTATTCAAAAGGCAAACACATAAGCAAAATAATCCTGATGCAGAAACACAAATATTGCACATTCTTACTCATATGTGGGAGCTAAAAACATTGATCTCGTGGAGGTAAAGAATGATAGACACCAGAGACTGTGGAAGGTAGCGGGGAGGAGAGATGAAGAGGGATCGGTCAATGGTTAAAAAGTACAGATAGGTGGAAGGAATAAGTTCTAGTGTTTCACAGCACAGTAGGGTGACTTTAGTGAACCATAATTTATTTTGTATTTCAAAATAGCGAGCAGAAAAGATTTGTAACATTCCCAACACAAATGTTTGGGGTAGTGGATATCCCAGTTACCCAGATTTGGTCATTACACATTGTACGCATATATCAAAATAGTACATGTACCACATACATATGTACAACCCTGATGTATCCATAAAAGTTAAAAATAATAAGTTAAACAATAAACGGAATCACCATGGGATCCAGCAATCCCACTTCTAGGTGAAGCTCACTGAAATAAGTCATACACAAAAGGACAAATGTAGTATGATGTGTTTACACTGATATGAAGCTACCTAGAATAGGCAGATTCTTAGGGACAGAAAGTCAGATAGAGGCTGCTGGGACCTGTGGCAGGGGAGGATGTGGAGTTATCGTTTAATGGGGACAGAGTTTCTGCTGGGGAAGATAAGACAGTTCCCGGGGTGGACGACGGTGTGATTGCACAACATTGTAGATGTCCCCAGTGCCACTTAAAAATGGTTAGAATTGTAAATTTTATGTTATGCACATTTTATTATAAGAAAAAAAGGAGAGCAAAGGCAGCTGTGGGTGAGTTCATGGCGTTTCTCCTGAGTTCCAGCAGGCCCTATCTGTGATGTCCCACAGTCCTGTTGCATGGGTAGGGCTGGTGGCATCGCTGGTCCCATTTTATAGATGACCAAACAAGTCACAGGGACATACCTGTGTGTTCTCATTCACACTCCTGTTCATTGTCTGCCTCCCTACACGGGGGTGTGCATTCTCTCAGGGCAGGGACCTTGTGGGGCCGCTCACCCCAGTGTTCTCAGGGCCTGGCACATAGAAGATATTTGCACTGAATGAAGAAGTGAATGGCACACTTCATGTGAGGCTGGCCCCGGAGCTAGTAAGGAGCAGGCCCAGAACACTGCCCAGTCCTCCTGCTCTGGCCCTGTATTCTCCAGTGCCTCAGGCTGCCTGGAGGGTGAGTGGGAACACCATACACATGAAGCACCTTCCTACCCCAAACCAGGGCAGATGGCCTCTGAACAGCTGCACTTGGACAACAGGCCTCTGCTTTGGGGTCACCCCATTTTCTTGGCTGGAACTCCTCCCAGCCTCCCACTCCACCCTACTTAGACCCTGTCCCAGTGCTGGCAGGTGTGCCCACAAAGGTGTGGCCTCTTCTCCTGTCTCCCGACCTCTGGACCCAGGCATATTCTGCTTCCTCAGTCTTGGGCCAGAGTGGGAAGCTGACCTCATCCCTCCCAGGGTGGCCAAGAGCCAGTGGCTGACCCCAGGCTCACCCCTCACCTGTGCAGCCTCCTTTTCCTCCCACATCCTCCTCCCAGGTGGGCCTGTGCCTGGGGTTACCATTGCAACTCCACTTCTCCCCACCCCGGCACAGTGTGCCTGTCTGATCTGTGCTGGCCACAGATCCAGAGGCTCCTTGCTGAGCCTGCAATTGCTGCCCTAGTGGACCCAGTTACACCCCTGCTTTTTGGGTGTGGTGTGGAAAAGGCCAGGAAGGGTAAAGAGTAGAAGAGAAGGAAGAGGGAAGGAAAGGCCTGTCTCCCACCACACCCATCCTTTTATGAAGTCAGGCTCTGAGAGTGACAGGGAGTGATAGGCTTGTAAAATTGTAAAAACTACTGGGCACAGACATGATTTGCTAGCTAAGCATGTGAGCATCTGTCCTCCAGTCTCTTCTTAGCCTGCACCCTGTGTTCGAGGTTATGGCACCATCAGTTTCTTCTGCTTCAAAAGAGCCTAAAGTGGCTCATCTCTTCTCAGTCCTGGTCCTTGGTTTAAGCCTTCTGAGGCTTCTAACTTGGCTGATAACATTGGCATCTGCCAATACCTCAGGCTTAAAATCTCAGGGCCAGCATTTGCTCCTAGTTTTCCTTTAGTGCTTCCCAGTTCAACAGAAGTCCTGCCCTTTCCACCTCCCTTGCTACCACCCTAGTGGCTGCTGGGGCCCCAGGGTCTGCCTATTTATCCTCTGATGCGGTGCCATTGACCGCTGACTGACTCTCTGCCACACGACAGCCAGGGGGTGGCTCAAAAAACACAGAACCACCATATTATTCCCCAGTGTAAGATTTCAACAGCTTTCTAGTTCCTGCGGGTCATGTAGGCAGCCCTCACCAGGCTCTGGGACAATAGTGTGCTGGCTGGTATACATTTAACAAAAACTGTCCGGGGAAAAAGCCCTTACATATATGTAGCATTTGCCAATTTCTGTGGTATAAATACCCCCACTGTGGCTGATTTCAAGTCATCCACATGATGTCACTGAGTGAAGGGCTGGGAAGAGATGCCTAGAATCACAATGTTAGACAGCATCTCCCCCGTGCAGTACAACGGACACTAAATGACCAAGAGCAGAGGTAAGAGGAAAGAAAATGTAGTCAAATAATTAGGATGTGATGAGTTTGGGGGTACTTATTACACTTTATCTAATGTATTTAATTGAAAATAACTTAATGATGGCTTTGTTTAACATCCAGCTCTAAAAATAGCTGAAAATTTAACCATTAGCTCTCACAAGCTAGCACAAGTCAGCTGCGGTGCATAACTGCCTGTGAGCAAGGTTGTCTCCGTTTTGACTGGGGGTATAGCGAAGGGCCATGGGTTTGGGAGTCCAGTCGAGTTAACTTGCACATGGACCCTCCTCTGGTTTCCAGTGATCAAGTCCAGCATGGTAGGTCTTGTCCTACTCTAGTTTCTTGAGCGGAATCTCAGGTCCTCCATAAAGTGGTCCTGTCTTGCAGTTCTCAGTTTCTTTCAACTTCAAGAGTCTGTCTACTCCTGTGTGTGTTTGTGATATAGTTGCAGCAGCTGGAGCTAGGCCCTGCCATGACCTCTGCAGGGTGCACAGGCCATGCCCTCCATGTGGCTGTGCTTTGCCTGACCACCCATCTCCTTGGCACCATCATTCTCACAGAGCTGGAAGGCAGAAGCTCTGTCCTGTAACCAGTGTGGTGGGGTGGGCTAGACCACCTGTGGCCTGGGCTCTGTGTCTGCAGCCCTCTTGCTATGCTGAATGAACACTGTTGGATGTCACTTGATGGCTCCCTAGAAGAAATTAGTGGAGTTAGACTTCTGCCTGCAGAGGAAAGTGTATTAGAAACAAAACCAAAGCCTAATCAAACAAAAGAAGCTCTGAGCTTGCACATCAGGTGTATTGTCTTCTGCAAATGCACGAAGTTAGAAAAGGCCAGGAAGATTAATGAGTGGAAGAGAAGGAAGAGGGAAGGAGAGGCCTGTCTCCCACCATGCCCATCCTTTTATGAGGTCAGGCTCTCAGAGAACTGCTGCTTTTGCTTATGGAGTCAGAACAGACCCCAGCGACCTTCACACCTGCCTAAAGAGCTCAAGAAGAATCCAGCCTCTGAATCGAGATCACTTCTTTTTCTCCCAAGGAGGGGCTTGTGCACACTTGGGAAAGCCATCCTCAGATTTGGATCCACACTGAAGTGAGTGCTAGAGGCACACTCCAGAGCCTGAGAACCTGGAGGACAGGCCATCCTGGACACCAGCATGGAGTCAGCTATCCGTGGAATCGAAATACAAAGCATCACACACCCAACACTTCATCTCTAATTCGTGTACCCTTTTCATTTGAGGAACCACAATGCAGATGAATTGGAAAAGCCCCTGGACTCTGGTAAAATGCCATTTGAAATTGTTATATGGTTTTCCATTAGGAGAAGTTCAAGGAATTGGTAAGACTTACGGTGGACATTGTACAGATCATTGCATAATAATTTTTCTTTGCAATTAATTAATCTTCATCTCTGACATTCACTTCAAATATGTGATGATAAAATGGGAAGGGATCCTTGCTTGGGCAAAAACAACAACATAGCTTTTCTTGAAGATTGTTTATAGCAATGGTGCCAGCACAAGCTTTAATGTGAACTGACCTGGTCCTTGGGCCAGGATTCTGGGTCCTTGGTGTATTCCTCAGTCCTCCAGAAGGGCTTCTGACTACCCAGGAGAACTGGTAGGCCCTTTGCAATCTGCCCAGACATTCTCCCGGCCCTCTGTATCTTGTCTCTTTGTCTGCCTACCAGTGTGAGCATCCCAGCACCCATGAGCCCTTCCCTAACGACCCCAATAGATATGGCCATTTATCTTCTATGCTGCCAGAAAAATCTCATCCATTTGCTATGGTTGCCCTTATCTCATTGTAATCATCATCATTATCTCATTGTAACCACTAATATTTCTTTTTTTTTTTTTGAGACAGTCCCCCAGGCTGGAGTGCAGTGCAGTGGCGCGATCTCAGCTCACTGCAACCTCTGCCTCCAGGGTTCAAGCAATTCTCCTGCCTCAGCCTTCTGAGTAGCTGAGATTACAGGCACTCACCACCAAACCCAGCTAATTTTTGTATTTTTCTTTTGAGACGGAGTCTCGCTCTGTTGCCCAGGCTGGAGTGCAGTGGTGTGATCTTGGCTCACTGCAAGCTCCGCCTCCCGGGTTCACGCCATTCTCCTGCCTCAGCCTCCCAAGCAGCTGGGACTACAGGTGCCCACCACTACACCTGGCTAATTTTTTATTTTTTATTTTTGTAGAGACGGGGTTTCACTATGTTGGCCAGGATGGTCTCAAACTCCTGACCTCGGGTGATCTGCCTGCCTCAGCCTCCCAAAGTGCTGGGATTACATGTGCCGCTAATATTTCTGAATACTCACAAGACGCTAAGCACAGGGCTGAGCAGTTTCAGCTGTTTGTGTGCTTGACTCCCTCCGCCCCTGCTTCTGTGAATTCCTGGGAGGCCATGTTTAATACAACTCAGTCCCCTTTATCTGGTGGCTACCACAATGCTTGAGTTACAGTAGGTGCCCCTATACGTATTTATTAAAGGAACTTACATCAATTGATTTGTAACCATGTGTTTTATAAAATCAATCTCATTTCTATTTACTGCTTGAATGACGGCTTTAGTCCTTTGTCTTTTGCAAGAAGGTCCTTCTCTCCTCTCAAGGGCCGTGTTCCTGCAATAAATGTAGTGCACTCACAGGACGCTTACTTAGGCCTGCAAGCTCAGGGCAGTTTCTTCTCCCTTCCCGATGGGCTGAGACTGGAGGACTCCATGGCTGGGGCCAGAAGCTGTTTCCTGTGGAGCGGCCCCAGTGCTGATCTTGCTCCTGCTGCCACGGGGCGTGCCATGGGGGGTGGGTGCTTCTGCTGCCCAGCTGGGGTCTCACTCACATGCCTAGGGTGGTATACTTGGAAAATCAAAGTTCAATATATGTACCCCATGAGAGGGGGATGTCTTTGTTCCTACTGTTATAACAAAATACCTTATACTGCATAATTTATAAAGAACAGAAACTTATTTCTCACAGCTCTTCGAGACTGGGAAGGCGAAGCTCAAGGTAGTGGCAGGTGAGGGTCTGGTCTCTTTGATTCCAAGGTGACACCTTGAATGCTTCATCCTCACATGGCAGAAGAGCAGGACAGAGAACCGACTGCCACAAGCCCTTTCATAGCGGTGCAGTGCTCACGACCTAAACACCTCCCAAAAGGTCTCACCTTCCAAACACTGCTGCCCTGGGGATTAAGTTTCCAACACATGAATTTTGGAGGGGACACACTCAAACCATTGCAAGACATTTCCACAGTGATATTGGAAATCGTACAGACCCTCAGCTCTGACCTACCTAAGGGACTTGTCAGGGCCAGCTGAATGCAGGTCTGTTTTGGGGCCAACAGGTCTGAAGCAGGAGTTGTAAACCCTCGTCTCCCTGTACTTCATTGCAAAAGAAAGTTGGAGAAAGTAGAAGTTAGTGGATTAGAGAGGATTTCAGGTGGCATTTTTTTCTCCCTAATCAATTGCTTCATAAAATGCATACATGATTAGAATTTCCTGCAGGAGAGAAGCGGGAGGGCGGAGAGAGAGAGAGAGAGAGAGAGAGAGAGAGGTTGAGAAACATCACCCTGTAGTCCCTGCCGCATTTCTCTGCTGCCCTCACAACAAAACTCCTGAGTGAGTGGCCTACATCTGCTGTCTCTCTCTGTTGTGTGGCATAGGAAATCATTCCCTCTCCAGCACCGTTGGGGTGTAGAAATGGTATAATTATGTGGCTAATATAGTCAATGTGTGTTGACTACCTGGATACTTTGGTATATAAGGTTGGGTTTTCTGAGTCATCCATAGCTGATGTTGGTATTTAGCAATTTAGAACAATTCTGCATTCACAGAACGCCTTTGGTCAGCCTGCCCCTGTCAGGCTTGGGGGACACAGAGGTGAAATGAATGGCTTGACTCCCTATGCCCCAGAAGTTTCTGATTTAGGAGCTCAGGACTAGAGGGAGGCAGGCACTGGATACTGATCCGAGAATGCACTGCATAGACACTGCCTTCAGGGGATTCAGGGAGAGGCAAGGATAGAGCAGTGTCTGTGTGGGCTTCGAAACCCTTCCTCAGCAAGTCACCACATCTGACTCAATTCTGGAGTTCAGGGCCTATAGGATTGGAGTATGGACCCCCTTCGGTCTTCACAGGCCAGGGCCACCCCTTCCCAATGAGTCACAGACTTCCATATGGTTCCTAGACCCATGATCCCCACTGAGAGAGTTTTGAAAAAATCGAAGTACATACAGCACACAATTGTCAAACAAAAATTATAGGAGGCCATTGTTTTGGACTAAACTGCATTAGGCCCCAGCAGGCCAGACTAAAAATCAAAATGGAGTCAGCCATGCTCAGAAAACTGAAACTGAGTCATTATCTGGGCTGAGAAATCAGATGAGGTAACATCCACATTTCCCACACAGGTTCGCTTTCAGTGTTCAATTGGTGTGATGATGAAGTTCATGCCTTCAATCCTTATAAAACAGAGTAACCTGAAGCAAACTGGTGTTAATTAATCTGTTATTTTTCTGTTATTCTGTCCATGTCCCACCTTATAAGAAAGTAACCTTGAAATGAGCAATGTGCTTTTTGTTCTTTGTTTCTGTTTTTTTCAGCTCTTTCTCTGTCTATAAAATCAACCTCCTCTGCCCAGATTATGGGAACACTTTTAATTCTATTTTATAGAATGAAGCGTTGCCTGATTCTAGAATCATAAGTAAAGCCAATTGAGATCTTTATATCTGTTGTAATTTTGTCTTTTGACACAGTAACACACATGATTTAAGCCTTCAGTTTGCAGAATTTTGATAATCATTTACAACTGTTTATACTCAAAACAAAATATGAAACATTGTCCGCCTCCAAGAAGCTCCTTTCTACCCCTTTCCAATCAGCCACCAACAACCATGCTTTATTTCTGTCTCTGTGGATTAGTTTTGATGATTCTAGATTTAGTATAAATGCAACCATAAAATATGTACCTTTGGCCGGGCGCGGTGGCTCAGGCCTGTAATCCCAGCACTTTGGGAGGCGAGGCAGGCGGATCACGAGGTCAGGAGATCGTGACCATCCTGGCGAACACGGTGAAACCCCGTCTCTACTAAAAATACAAAAAAATTAGCTGGGCGTGGTGGCGGGCGCCTGTAGTCCCAGCTTCTAGGGAGGCTGAGGCAGAATGGCGTGAACCCTGGAGGCAGTGGAGCTTGCAGTGAGCAGAGATCGCGCTACTGCACTCCAGCCTGGGCGACAGAGCGAGACTCCACCAAAAAAAAAAAAAATGTACCTTTTTGTGTGGCTTCTTAATTTTTTTTAATCTTCAAATATTTATTGAGTTCTTTTTTTAAATTTTATTTTTCCATAAGTTATTGGGGTATAGGTGGTATTTGGTTACATGAGTAAGTTCTTTAGTGGAGATTTATGAGAACCTGGTGCACTCATCACCTGAGCAGTATACACTGCACCGTATCTGTTGTCTTTTATCCCTCAGCCCCTCCCACTCTTCCCCCCAAGTCCCCAAAGTCCATTGTATCATTCTTATGCCTTTGCATCCTCATAGCTTAGCTTCCACATATCAGTGAGAATGTACGATGTTTGGTTTTTCATTCCTGAGTTACTTCACTTAGAATAATAATATCTAATCTCATCCAGGTCATTGCAAATGCTATTAATTCATTCCTTTTTATGGCTGTGTTTCTTTATCCACTTGTTGATTGATAGGCATTTGTGTTGATTCCACGATTTTGCTTTTGTGAATTGTGCTGCTATAAACCCAGGAGTGAGATTCCTGGATCAGATTCATACATTCAGGTTTTCATATTAGTAGTTCATTCCCTTTTATTAGACCATAATTCATTTAGCCATTCACCCATTGTTTTTAGGATTTTTTTTTGACTGTTATGAAGAAAATTGCTACAAACATTCAGGTACAATTCTGTTTTGTAGACACAGGCTTGTATTTCTTCAGGGGTGAATGTGCACAAGTGGGATTGCTGAGTCACAGGGCCGATGGATGTTTAGCTTGACAGAAACTAGGAACTGTGCTCTGATGTGGGGGTGCTATCCTGCACTCCTACCGGTGGGGCAGGGGAGCCCCCTCGGGCTCTGATCCTAGCAGCCCTGGTGGGCAGGAGCGGGTGTCTCATCCTGGACAGTGGGCTGTCTGACCACTTGTTTGGGTGCACACCTATTTGGCACCCTATGGCCTTTCACGCCATCCTGGGTGTGCACAGCCTTCCTGCTGGGTGCATTTGGGATGTCTCAGGATGTTTATTTTACAGAGACCAGGACTCTGATGCTCACTGAGAGCCAACGCCTTCAGAGTCAGCCAGGCGAACCCAGCTCTGCCTGTGTGGCAAAATAGAAAATATATATTTGGTCTTTGTCCCTAGTTCTGGCAGAGAGCTCCTAAAACTCTTGGAATTTCCTGACAGGAGTGTTTTTTTGTTTTTCATAATGAGCCCCTTTGACTATATCCAAGTTTATTCCAAG